GCCTGGGGCGCCCCCCCCCCGTCCCCCCCCCCTGCCTCGCCTCTTCCCGCTCTCCTCCAGCCGCGCTGGCTTCTGCTCTCAAGCACCCAGGGCACCCCTCCTCCGGCTGTTTGTGCCTTTGGAATCTTCTTCCTGGGCTTTCCGCTCAACCCTCCTCTGCTTTGCTGGATTCCCTCCTGCCCAGCCTTCTGTGGGCCCTCTTCATGCCCTCGGTTCCTGCCTGGCACCTCTCCTCCCAGTCTCCCGGTGGTTGGTCCCGAATGTCAGAATGTCCGTCCCGGTTGGCCCTTGAATGCCCCACTGAGGGTCCCTGCCGGGGCACCTTTCAGACCGCAGACCAGAGGCCCCAGCCAACCTGTTTGTTTGTCACAATGCAGAACCCCATTGTTACCCAGTTAGTTTCCGTGTCCCGAGAGCAGCCGCCTTCCCCCCAGACCTTCTGCAGGACAGGACATGAGTCACCCTGGCTCACCTCTCCTCACACCCTAAACCAGCCACCCAGCCCCGGGCTCACATCCTGGGGAGGGCTAACCTTCCAGGAGATGAGGCTGCACAGTGGGCAGAGCCTGAGGGTGACATGGCCTATCTGGCGGGAGCTGGCCGTCAGGGGAGGCCAGGTCTGCGCAGACAGGACCCCCTCTGACGTCAGCCTTAAAGGACTCCATCGGCTGCTGTGTGGGGAAGAGCGATGGGACCAGGTGCAAAGTTCCGAGGGCAGTGAGGACGTGATGGCAGCAGGCAGTGAGAGAGGATGGTGGCCTGGCGGGGTGGTGGCAATGGAAGGGGGAAGAGATGAAATTCTGGGCCTGTTTTGAAGGTAGAGCCCACAGGGCTTGCACAAGACTTAGAAGGGAGTGGGGGTGTGGCAATGATGAGAAGGATGAAGGATGACTCTGAGGTTTTGCCTGGGCACCTGGGAGGATCGTGGGGCCGTGCAGAGAGAGGAGACCAGGAATTCCGTCTGGCCACGTCAGGTCTTAAGTGCCTGTGAAGCAGGCCCCCAGGCTGGGTCAGGTGCTGCCCTGGGCTCCCAGCCCTGATGCTGACCCTGGCTGTCACTGAGTTCCCTCAAGGCAGGGACAGGGTTGGCTGTCACCCCTAGCCGCAATCCACCCCTCTGCCTTGCACAGAGCCAGTGCTCAGTAAATAGAGTAATAAATGCACCCAGCAGACAGGCAGGAGGTCCCAGGGAGAGCTCTGGGTTCCCGCCTTGTCAGGAAGGATACTGTGATATTTTTACAGGGGTCTCCAAAAAGCTAATGAAAATGTGCATTATGAAAAAGCCATGCATACATTCCAAAACTCTTTGCACAAAATAAACTCGTACTTTAATTCTACTTTCCATGGACTGTATTTTGTAGCAGGACAGACGTGCTAAGGCAGAGTAGGGCGTACACGTGGGGGCGGGGACGTCCCCTTCCCGAAGCGGATAGCTTGGCGAGAGGCAGGCCCTGCCGCAGTGTCCAAAGTGGGGATTCTGTCCAGAAGGCCATCTGGGACGCAGGCGTTGGAAAGCATAGAGGCCAGGGTCATCGCCCTCAGAGAGACCCTCGACCACCCCACCCCACGGTACCTAACAAACGGCCGGCTGGCAAGCGGAGCATCCGCAGGAGAGACTCACCTGGGCCGAACGCGGTGCCGGGACGTCCACACTTTGTCGCACACGCGGAAGCCCGGCCCGGAAGTGGCTCGGTCCTACGACTCCCACAAGGCCTTGGGGCTAGGTCGTTTGCAGCTCCCAGAACCCCAAGCAACTGCTCTACCAGCAGCGCCGGCGGCGCCCGGGCCCGGTGGACTACAACTCCCAGAAGCCCTCGCGGCCCTTCCCTGCCCCCGCTACGGCTCTCGGAAGGCGTGGCTGTGAGTCCTTCCTGCGCCTGCGCAGGGGCGGCGGGCGCGTCCCACCTGCGCTGCAGTCGCTGTGGCGGCGCGCTGTCTCCGGGTACTTGGAAAACAGGAGGCTGTATTCGGATTTCCTGCGTTTGTGGGATTATTATAGGCTTTTAGAGAGGTCACAGAGCATATTTCTACCCTGTGAGGTCGGGTTGCCGACGAGAAGTAAACGTGCAGGCATCTGTGGCGAGATTAAAGCGGAAGGTGGCCCGCGGCAGGGCCCGGATTCCGAGGACTGGCTTCCGAGTGGGGCTGCGCGCCCTGCAGGGTGGGAGATGGCCCAGTCCCCTGGAGCCCAGCGGAAACGTTCCCTGCCCTGTGTACGGAGCCTCGGGCTCATTTCGAGATAGAGGCCTCACTGCGCTCCCTCACCTCGGCCTGATCCAGAACCGCTGGGGCGGCGTCGGAAAAGCGGGGGAGTGCCAGTAGTTGAGAGCAGCAGCGCGGGCCAGCGTGTGGTCACGGCGGCTGGATCCCACCCGGCCCACTGTGGGGATGAAGCCCAGACCCAGAGGCTTGAAAACGCGGGCGCCGGTGCCGGGCGCCGCTGTGTGCCCAAAATCCCGAGGGGAGAGTGGCGAAGGGATTGGCGAGGCCATCCCCTCCGGGGGATGACTTCTCTCTCTCTGTGTCTCTCTAGGCAGTGCATACCTCGTGTAGTAAAACTAAAAAAAAAAAAAAAAAAAACTGTGGGGATGAAGCCCAGACCCAGAGGCTTGAAAACGCGGGCGCCGGTGCCGGGCGCCGCTGTGTGCCCAAAATCCCGAGGGGAGAGTGGCGAAGGGATTGGCGAGGCCATCCCCTCCGGGGGATGACTTCTCTCTCTCTGTGTCTCTCTAGGCAGTGCATACCTCGTGTAGTAAAACTAAAAAAAAAAAAAAAAAAATCCCCAAACTCGGTCAAGGCCGTCAGCTTCGAAATGTGGCTGTCGTGCGCTTGAGGCAAGACTCTGTCTCCTACACCCGACGTGACTGCAAGAAATGTCCAGGCCTCTTAAACTGGCTGCCTCTGAGCCTCCTTGCTTCTCCAGTGTGTCGCATCAGCCCCTCCAGCATGCCGAAAGGTCTCCTTTTTGCTCCCCACAGAGAGCGCTCTCTGCCTGGGCAAACTCATCCCCGGAGCTGCGTGGATGCTGCTGGCTCCACTCCGAAATGCGCCCCCTTGCTTTGGCGGAGCATTTGGCTGTATTCGGATTTTCCAGATTGTTGCGCTTCCAGTGTCCTGCTATACCTACCCTGTTATGCCTGGAACAGTCCCCACATTTTCTCATAACACTGGGTCTTTAAAAGTTTATTTGGGGGAGAGAGAGAATGAGAAGCAGCCCCACAGGGTTTTCACGCCACAACTTGCCCCAGCCTCAGTCAGCCCTGGACAGTGGGCACTTGTACACTCATGGCCAGAGTGTACAATGAGGCCTCAGGATGCGAACCCAGGACCTCCCCACAGCAGGCGGCTCCTGGGTCCTTGGGGGTGTGGGGTGGAGGGATCAGAGCCTGGGGTGCTCTGGGTCTGGACGCTCACAGCTCTGGGGAGCAGGGAGCTATCCGCCTCCACGTTTCCTGCAGCCACGCTTGGATGAGGGCTCGGTCAGCAGCTCCTCTCTGACAAGCCTTTCTCTCAAGAGCC